AAATTTGATCATGGAGGATGGAATGTTAGAGGAGTTGTTGGAAATGTTAAAAAGTGCATGAGCAACATTAAAAGGTAACAAAGAGGTAGAAAAGGAACCAGAAAAACTGTTGATAGTGGAAATAGGGGAACAGACAAGCAGTGTAAATGCACAAGGAATTAACAAGATGGAAATGGAAAATAAAACTCAGTGGGTAAAGGCACAAAGAGAGCAGAGAGGAAAAAAGGGAAACGGCATCCGAAAAAGAAATTAGCCAAAAATAGAGAGAGAAATAAAGGCAGATGAGAAAGAGAAACTTGGGAGGGAGACACTCAAAAAATCTATTGAAAAGTGAGAGGGAAAATACAGAAGAAAATATATAAGATACATAAAAAGAAGAAAAGAAAAGAAATTTAGAAATAGGAGAATAGTAGAATGATATGATTCAGTAAAATAAATATTGTTAACAAGATTAAATTATTTTTTAATTAGAATGTGTGGGAATTATATTAAGAACCTTAAAGCTGTTAAATATGTTATGTTGATTATATAAAACTTGAAATTTGAAACTTGAAGATTCATATTGTTAATGGAAAATAGATGAAAAGAAATGATAAATTGTTTATATTTAAAGGGAAAGAAAAATTATATTGTTTGTACTTGTTAAAAACTAGAAATTGGAAAATAGAAGAAAAGTAAGAGCTAAAATTGGAAATAATGAAAATATAATGTAAAATGAATTATAACTTTTGGTGGGAATGTTAAAGGGGGAATTCGTACAACACTCTGTTCACAATTTTTTTTAATTGTGTAACAAAACTAAATAAAAAACTTTTTAAAAAGGCATTCAGATAAAAGCCCTAGTTTAAAAATCAAGATATTCTATGAGAATATACAGAATAGTTCCAGAATAGTTATAAATACTTCATTTATAAACTGTATAAAGCTGAAATATTATGAACCGCATAATAATATTTTGATGGAAAATCAAATTTTTGATACATGTAAATACAGAAACTTTCAAACTATTCTGCATGAGTAATCTATTGGCTTTAATTGTATACAAGATTTTAAAAGTTATAATAATGAGTCATCCACAAAGCAATTAAACATTAGTTTTACATAGATGAGAGGAAAGGAAAAGAGATGAAAAATGCATAAAGCCTAATAAAAAATATGATTTGGGAAAATTATATTAAAGCCACCTTATTATCCTTCTCATATTGGGCAGAAACAAGTTTTACAAAGTTACCATGCAGAACAAAGTTGGAAACTAAATACTATCATAGAAAACACCCTGATCCTTAAAAATGTCATCCCAGGTACAAAGGAAGCTTCCTAAATACTGAATAATAATAATTCCAGTGGAAATGGAGTAGCATCAAGGCAATCTATCTATCTAATAGATGTATCTAATCTATTTAATAGATGTAGCATCTTAAAATGATCCCAAGGGTCTGAGTAATGAAAGATATGTTACTTCTGTACCAGAATAGCATTTGTCTTGTAATTGATTCCAATAGGAATCCAAAATCTACACCCTGTGCTATTTGTAACTTCAGAAATTTGAAGTTTTTAGGAAAAAGATAGCAATTGTGTACTATAGCATAGGCAAGAAAATCAATGGTAAAAAAAGTAAATTTTTCAGTAGCAGAATTTTGTCCCAGAAAAACATTTCTGGAACTTAGATTATATTTTTTCTCCATGTTGTGTGAGTATAGTTGTATTATAAAACTATAACACACAACACGATCTACATACCATGTAGTGATGTTGAATATTTTTGCAGCTACTTTTATAATCTGCATCATTATTGCTGCCATTACTGTAATTTGCGTTTGCCTTCTGGTTCTCCTTCTAGATAGAGCACCCGAGACTGGGGTATTTGATTAAACTCTCAGTGCTTCAGTCTTATAATCAAACAAATGAATGTAATGGGAAAAGCTTAGTATTTTATTTGTTCTACTGGTATAAGTTTGATTAAACTAGTAAAACAAAGAAATACAATTTAATTGGAGTATGTTTATTATAAAATATTGCTTGGAAAATATCAGATATGTCTTAAATTGTGCTAGGGGTTCAACTGCCCCCCTGGTCTTCTGTAAAAGTCCTATTTGACTTTGTTCAATAGGATCAGGTAATTTAAGTCCTCTCCTAAACCCCCCCCCTCTTTTTCAATTGGTTTCTCAGTGATAACCTACCTGGTTGAAGA